GACTTAGGGCATCAGTAGGAACAACCAATATGATTGTCACTGCTTGTCAGCTGCAGGAAAAATGCCAGCAACAAAATAAACTCCTCTACATGGCCTTCCCTGGCCTCACAAAATCTTTTGACTCTGTCAACTGAGAAGTGCTATGGAGGATCTTTCTGAGGTATGCACACCCAGTGAAATTTGTTAACCTTCATTGCCTGCTTTATGATGGTATGCAAACGGTGGTTCTTTATAATGGATCTATCACAGATCCCTCTGAGGTTAAGACTGAAGTTAAGCAAGGCCATGTCATTACTCTACTACTCTTCTTGATATTCCTTACTGCAATGCTATATCTGACCACCAACAAGTTTCCAACTGGAGTGCACCTAAACTACTGAATGGATGGTAACCTGTTTAACATAAGCCAGCTCCGAGCCAAAACTAAGACTAGCCTGACCTCATCCATTGAGCTCCAGTACATTGATCATGCTGTAGTGTCTGCTCACTTGGAAGCAGACCTTCAGACAATCATCAACATCTTTACTGAGGCATAAAAGACAATGGAACTCACACTTGACTTTCAAAAGATTAAAATCCTCCATCAGCAAGGTCTTAATGAACAGTCTCCAGCTCTAGGAATTCACATTTGCGGTGAGACACTGGAGAATGTTGAGTATTTTCTGTACCTCAGAAGTCACCTCTTCCAGAAGGCTGACATTGATAAAGAAATCCAGCATTGCCTCAAATATGTAAGTGTAGTCTTCAGACACCTGAGGAAACAGATGTTCAAAGATCACAACATCAGATTTGAAACGAAGCTCATGATTTATTAAGTAGTCATGATCCCTACCTCACTGTACAGAGCTCAGACAGGGACAATGTACAGGAGACACCTCAAGTTGCTGAAGAAGTACCATCAACATTGCCTGCAAAAGATCCTTGAAATCCGGTGGGAAGATGACACTAAGATTTGTGTAACTCACTTGCAAGCAAACACCGTGAGTACTGAGGTGCTGATCATCTGCCATCAGCTTTGGTGGGCAGGCCACATCATCCAGATGTCTGACTCAAGACTCCTGAAGCAAATTGAATTCTTTCAGCTCAGTCAAGGCATGTGCTTTAGAGGATGGCAAAGAAAACACTTCAAGGACATCCTAAGGCCAACTTGAAAAAACGCAACATCAACTCATGGAAGACTATCACCCAGGACCACCCCAAATGGAGGAAGAGTTTGCCACAAGGATCTCAGTACTTCGAAACATCACAACAATAGCAGGAAATGGAAAAATGGGAGTGGCAGAAATAGTATGTCACAGACCAAATCAGAAATCCAGAGCCATCCTCTCTGCAAGGAAACACATCCCCAAGTTGCAGTAGAGTCTGTTAATTCCAGATTGGCCTTGACTACCATCTTTGGACCCACAGATAAGACAATCATGGACGATAATCATCCTTGACTACAAGGGACTGTCAATTGATGACTTAATTCTGGAAAAGGGATATGCTAAAGTTTCAATAGCTCATGAAATATTAGAAGTAGAAACTTATCCTGGAGGGCAGGGAATCCCATTTCCTGATGAAAATATAATCCTTTTATTCCTGGATTTAGTTGTGGCATCTTGATTTATTTCTGGTTTCTATTTGGATTCAAAATACTAATGCAGTTTGGCTTTATAGCTGAAGAACTATTAGGAGATAGCATGCTGGTCTATAATATAAACTTGCTACCTAATGAAGAAGGCTTTAACTGTGTGTGAAGGGAAGAAGTGACAAATGTCCACAGTAGTTTGCTGTTATTTTGGTTGGACATTTCAGGAGTGTCTGTCTTAGCTCCAATAGTAGTCAGTATTTTCATAGACTTCTTGGATGAGGGAATAGAGGGCATGATTTAAATTTATGGATGAGACCAAGCCCTGAGAGACTGCAAGCAGTCTTCTTTTCAGAAGAAAGAATTAGTATAAAAGCTTAATAAATTGGGGAAACAGTCTGAAATCAAAAAGATGAACTTCAGCAAGGACAGTTGTAAAATATTACACTTAGGAAGGAAAAACTAAATGCACTAATATAAAATAGGGATACCTGGCTATGCAGCAGTATTGCAGAAAAGGATCTGGAGCTATCATGGGCCACACACTAAGCATGTGTCAACAATGTGATGCCATTGTAAAAAAAGGTAAATATGAATCTGAGATGTATTAACAAGACCTTCTTGTGTATGATTAGAAGAGAATAATTACCTCCCTTCTCAGTAGTGGAAAGTCGTCAGCTGTAGTGCTGCATTCAGTTTTAGGCAGCACACTCAAAGAAAGACAGACAAATTGGAGAGAGTCCAGAGGAGAAAAAAAAAATGATAACAGGTTTATAAAACATGACCAATGAAGAAAAGCTGAAGAAGTTGGGTTTGTTTAGTCTAGAAAACATCAGACTGAAGAGAAGACTGATAAAAGTCTTCGAATGTATATAAAAGTTTGTTAGAAAGAGGACAGTGATCATTTTTTTCTCCATGTCCACCAAAATAGGATAAGGAGTAATTAACTTAATTTGCAGCCAAGAAGATTTAGTTTAGATATTAAGAAAATATTTAAGGATAGCTAAGCACTGGATTATGCCACCTAGGGAGGCTCTGAAATATCTATAATTGATGCGGGGAGGGTTGTATTAAACACATTAGATAAACAGGTACTAGGGTGATCTGGAAATTTCATAGATTTCATAGACATTAGGGCTGGAAGGGACCTCGGAAGATCATCGAGTCCAGCCCCCCGCCCAAAGGGCAGGAAGTCAGCAGGTGTCATAGGATCAAATGCTTGATTCTGCCTTAATACATGGGAATGTGCTAATAACTTCATGAGGCCCTTTTTAGCCATACATTTCTGGGTCTTTTGTGACATCAATAAAGGACTATTTCCACTCTTCCTGAAGTCGATAAAACAATTTCTGGTGACTTGTTATATGCAGCTTTATGTATATAGACACATATAACTATATCTGTATATGGGTAGATAAACATTTTAAAATGACATACCAACTTAAGAGTCTTCTGTGGATGACTTCTGCCAAATAATTTTGAAAGTCCTTATCTGGAATTTCTGTAGAGTCAAGTTAAATAGCATTCCTGTATTCCATTGTCTCCTGATGATTTTTATCCATAAGAGTCTTCCCTGCTGGATGAGTTTGTTACTCTGATTTAAAGAGGATAAGCGATCCTTGCTGATTTAGAAGCAGCTTTGTTAAATCATCACAAGATTTCAAACATAAATAAGAATATTCTTCACAAGTCTTTAGCACTTCAGTGAACAGCCGAAAATGCCTTGGATTTCCTCTCTATTCTAAGGAAATGTTAGTTTAAAGAGCCCCCTGACTAGCTTAATCAGGGAGTGCATCTTCAATGTTAAAACAGCTGGTGTGAATACAACTAGACTTTTATTGGTATTAACAGTTGTTCAAACAGTTATTAAAAGAGGAAGAAGATGTTAAAACTGTTTAAAATATGCAGTGTAAAAGTAAATATCCAGGTTCTTCAGCTAATTCAACGCATAGGTCAACAGAAATGAGGATGGGGAAAAAAGGAGAAGAAGAAATTTAAAAAATCAAAATCAAGTGGAGGGACTGGAACGGCTTTTAATATCTATAGTGAAGTTAGGAATTAATTTTAAATCACAAGCATTCTCCATTGCTTTGGTTTACTGCTGTCCACTGACCAAGTTGATGTAGACAGGAGAGATGACTGATCATTTACAAAGCCCTCATCAAAAGCTGCTAAAACAGGTAGACTCCACTTGCAAAGTTTCTGTGACGCTAGCCAAGTTAACGTAGTATATCCTTGATTTTTTTTAAAGACTTAAGAAAGACACATAATCTTCAGAAATATAGGAGGCTGGTTAAGTAATAAAGTACTGTGTACTGGTACATTTGTGACATAGAACAGAAGTGCTTTTCTGTTAACTAAGGCTGTGGGTTATCTGGACTTGAGATGCACAAGATACTTCTGTTTTCTAGTACAAGCAATATCCAGTATATTTATTGTGATACAATTATAATAATTTATGATTAGTGGAATAAATATTAGCACACCACTGGCTAGTTATTGAAAAGTATGTTTGTAAGCAAAGACAGTACGGAAATTTGAAAGTGGGTAATTAGTTTAGTAGTTTTTTAGAAGTAGCAAAGGGCAAAAAAGAAAGATGAATTTTGAAACAAAACGGGCAAAACTTTACTGGCAGACAAGAGGCAGACATCGACAGCTGTATGTGATATTAGGAACAAGAGGTGAGGAACAAGATATGGCTGAGCTATGAAGGGGCTTGAAAGTAAAGACAAGTAGTTTTTGCTTTTTTCCCATCTGGACAGAATTTTAGTTTATGTATGTACTTGTGGTAGTCCATATAATTTCTTTTGTTGCTGCTGTTTCAAATATGAACAGATCCCCATTGCTTTTATTCGGCATCTGTTAAAATATTCAGTTTTATGCTAGGCTCCTTTCCTTGTTGAAATGAATTATGTGACTCAGTTTATTCTCTAATGAATAATATTTACCATATGTGACAGTGTCTGCTTAGACAAGAGCTGGACCAAGGTAAGATGCTTTAACTCCAGAGAGCCATGGCCCCTCCAAGTCAGGAAGGAGATTGTAATTGATGAAGAAAAGCACAAAAAATTGTCTAATATACAATACCTGCCTGTGTTAATCCTGCTATGTTCGTACTAATTCAGGTTAGGGTTTCCATTGATTTTTGCTTCTTGTCACCCTAATGAGTTCATTTCACTCAAAATACACTAGGGGTAACCACACTTCGCAGCCAAATAGCACCTTCCATCTAATGATGGCAGTGCTCTTGAAAAATAGCAATTAAGTCTCCCAACACCCATGTAAGATAAGTATACATAAGTATGTTTCTAAACCACATGTGAACTATATATTAGGATTCCCTTGTAATCTGGATGTCTAAATGTTAGACCTATTTGGAAAATGACATGAATACTCTAACCTGAAGACTTACTCTGTTGCCTGATTGCAGGAAAAACATGCGACTCTGCTGTCAATTACTGTGAATGCAACCCATGTTTCAATGGAGGCTCCTGCCAAAGTGGAGTGGAAGGATACTATTGTCACTGTCCATTTGGTAAGCATATCTTTTGGTTTCTTACACTAATGATTTTGTTAGCTGAGCTTCATTAGGTTTATATAAATAAAAGCTCTGTGAATCTCTATTTACCCATTTCTTTAGCTCAGTTTAGCATATCATGAGAAATTAATGCCTACTACCTCCTGCTCTAGGAAGCAGAGGTTTAAACCCATGACTTTTACATGCCAGAAGAGTGCTGTAACCACTGAGAGATGAGTAATCCTCTCTTTTTCTGAATCATTTAAATCTATTATAGCTGAACAGGAGAAGTTGAGAAAAACCTACCCCAGAAATCTCTACTGGCCACTAGTTAAGATACTGGCTAGGAACTGGGACATTCTGGTTCAAATCCCTACCATAGTTAAGGCAGAGAAATGATTTAAATCTCGGTCTGCCATGTCCCACATGACTGCCTCAACCACCTGTTCAGGACATAGAAGTTCTGACATTTTGCTTTTATTTTTATTTAATTTATTTTGCTTGGCTGAAACTATTCATTACAATCAGCAGAAATTAGTAAATAATTTTGAGCCTATCAAAACTTCAATTTGTGGTAAATATTCCCCAAATAAATGTTCAGCAAAGAAAATCCCTCCAGGTTTTTAATTGTCCCTTGGATTTATCAAATGGCCTGTGGAGTAGGCACGGAGCCTTTCACTTTGAATATCCTGATTAAGGACCTGTCACAATCAAGCCTCCCTTCTTGTGCCACCTTTGGTCACACCTGACTCCATATTTAAACTGGAGCAACAGAGGATGTCTTTACATATGCTCTAGAGGTGTGGAGGGTCCCTTTATTTAGAATGGCTCAAGAGCCATTCTAATTAAAGCACCCACCGTGTCTCGTGTATGCAGCATCCTGCACTTCAAAATGGCAGTAGGTTGCTTTAACCAAACCTTGTTCACCACCATTTTGAATACACAAGATGCTGAGGCTACTGGAGCATGAGTCTGCCCTGACACACTGTAATTACAGAGCATTGGAGCACATGCCCCACACATCTACAGGCACCCAGAGTGCTCTGTTAAGTCTCTAAGAAAATAAGCCCTTCTCACCTATTCATGCTTTACATGTGTGAGCTCTATAAATGCGATGGTGAGCATAACTAAAGGCAGGGTGACTGGAACAGCAGCTCCAAGTGCTAACTTGGGAGTAGGGGTATGTGTGCAAAAATAAGAGCTGCTACTGCCTTGTGAGCCACCATTGCCTAGGGTGCAGTGTCATGTTATACCTCTGGTGAAGATCCCCAAATGGTATCCCAACCCACTGCTGAGCATGCCAGAAACCCAAGACCTGGGTGTAATATCAGAGGTTCTGCTCTCAGCCTCATTTATGGCCCTTCAAAAAGAAGAGACAAGGAATGAAAAAACTTAATTATCACTTCTGTCAATTAGCGATATAATTTGAAATATGTAGTATGGCACTTATTTTTATGACTGTTACACCTTGTTAAATGCATGGGAGAAAACATGGCTAGCTCCAAAACAATTTGCAATAGACCCAGGATGCTTCGCCACATTATGTTCCCCTTGTGAAGATGTGGGGTACAGAAACAGTTGTGAAAGCCACTGAGATACTTCAGCTGTTTGCAGTGGCTTTTATTCCAAATGGTTCCACTTCTCCAATTAGCTATGCAGAACTACTGATGAATTCCAGCCAATCAGAGAGGCAGAGCCTTTTGAAGCAAAAGCCTTGGTAATCAGCAATCTACTGCAGTGCCATAGCAATGAATGGGGCAAAGCCCACAGCGGCAACCTGCCCTTGCCCTGTGCACAGATCCAAGGGGCATACACCCCCTTACCATGCTTGCTCTTGCAGTGCATGCAGTGGCAGAAGCCACCCTTCCCCTGTCTCCGTGCCCCCCCAAGTGAGCCGCGGCTCTGTCCCATGTCCCGCCCAGGCTGAGCAGTGCTTGTTGGTGCCCTTTCACTTCGACACCTGGGGCAGTCACCCCACTCACCCCATCCCCCCCGCCACACACACACCTTGCTACAGCACTGATCCACTGCAAATTAAGTAGGTTGCTGAACCATCCAAGTAAGAAAAATCTGAGTTCCACTGTATTATTCCACTGTTCCACTTCAATATTAGTCACGTCTGTTTATATTCTGCTTATAAAACTTTTTGTTCTAAAACCAAAATTCAAAGAATAAAGCCAGAGAAGCCCTACCACTATATTTTAGTAATTCCTAGAACAGGGGTGGGCAGTTTTGGGGGCTGGAGGACCACTTAAGAAGTTTCTATGGGGTGTTGCAGGCTGGGAAAAAGTGAGGGTGGGTGGCCCAGCCAGGCACGGTGGTGGGTGGAAAGGGCAATTGATCGTATCTCGCCCTGGCCCATCCACGCTGCACTCATTGGTTCTGCAGGCAGGGACATGCAGGGAGCAAACTGTGGTTCTGCCCTGGGTCTAAGCCCTATGCTGTCACTGCCCCATGATCATGTGGGTACAGGGTAAATAGCCATGGGGTGCCTGGGCAGTGGCTTGAATTTCTCTGCACTATATTTACCAGAGTTCACTAATATTTATAGGGGGAAAAAATTGACTTAGTAGTGCAGTAACAATAAAAGTAATGTCAAAAACTAAATTGAAAAAGAATGAACACAAACAAAATACAAACACACAGTTTGAGAGGAGGGAAGGAGATGAACTAAGTTTTATCAGCTGTCTGGCTATAAATCAATCTCAGAAAGGTTATAAAAGTGGAATGGGAAGCAGAATGGAAAACTCATTGCCATGTATTAAAAAAAAGTTCTGTTAACCAATTTATCTCCACATCTGCAGTAATATAAACATTATATTCATTAATACCCACATTAGACAAGATGTGAACACTGGTTTTTCAAGCAGTGTAACGTAACCTTAATATCTCATATATACATTTTATTCAGTGAAAATGTCTCTATCTTAATCTACAGTTTTAGAATATACATACTTCAGTAAATAAAAGTGTGGACAAGACTTTTTATCCAAGATAGATAACTAATGCCTTTAAAAATAATAATCATAAACATATTTCAAAGCACAGAACCACCTGATTTGTTACTAGAAATGGTATGAACTTTGATCCAATGTTGTAATAACTAGTTAACATGTAACCTCTTTTACAGGTGTCTTTGGAAATCATTGTGAATTGAATAGTTATGGATTTGAAGAGTTGTCCTATATGGAATTTCCCAGTATGGATCCAAACAACAATTATATTTATATCAAGTTTGCCACTATCAAAAGTAATGCCCTAATGTTGTATAACTATGACAATCAGACTGGAGAGCAGGCAGAATTCCTGGCCTTGGAAATAACAGAAGAAAGGCTGAGATTCTCCTACAACCTGGGCAGTGGTACATACAAACTTACCACAATGAAGAAGGTGTCTGATGGACAGTTTCACACTGTTATTGCCCGGAGAGCTGGAATGGTAAGAAATGCTGAATTGGGAATTAAGTTAAAGATCAGCAAACTCTAGTAACGTTGCTTTCCATAGAATTTTTTTTAAAAGGTACCATTTTGGAAAAACACTCATTTCTATCATAGACAAGTTTGGCTGAAAGAATTATAATAGTTTGCTCAGGCTAAAAGAAAGCCCCTTTAAATGTGACAAATAGGTATGAAAATAATTAACTAACAAAATTGCTATCCAGGAGACTAATTAACTAGTGTAGATTATGGGAAAGACTATTAGCAAAAGACTAAAACAGTAGTGAAACCCAGAAGATACTTCACCTTGGTATCTGTAGAGCAGCGATAGGCAGATTTCTTGGATTTTTAGAGTTCTCTGTATTTTAGGACTTTTACAAATCCAATCAAGTTTGAAGGTTTCCCACCCTCTATTATTTAAACCCATTTATTTTTAAGGGTGTTCATGTTTGTTTAATCAGGCAAGTATTCTTTTGTCTAGTTTAAAGAGAAACCTTAGGAGGGAAGAGATCCTCCAAACTCTAGGCTGGTACAGCTGGTTGACATATACATAGCACTTCGCCCTTTTCCAGTTCTCATTCTATTTTCTCTATGGATTTTCTTTCTCTTTGCCTCATCTTTCTGTTAATTTCTTAACAGTATTTCCTAATCAGAACACACAGCCCAAACAATATGCTCTTTTTGAACTAGTTGAACATCAGGCAAAGTAAGTTTGTCATCATATTTGGTCAACCAAATACTTTCCTCTTCAAAGGGAAGCAAATATTTCAAACATTGGACAGATATTCCTTAGACCTCCACATTTTGTTTTCCCTGTTAGGCTAGAAGTAGTGGAAGGACTGAAGGAATTAGATGTTCTACACCACATAGCCTTTTCTGAATCCTGAAGACTTTTCATGATTACATGCTGCAAAAATCACAGTTTACCACATAAACACTGCTCTTTGCTCAGAAAAGCCAAACGCTGATACAGCCAATCCAAAATATTTCAGTCATTGTGCCAAGTATGCTGTTACAGAGTTGCATGCATTATGGGTTCAAGAATATAAATGTCCTGAGTGTAGCTAGGGGCTACAATATCTATGTAGAGGTGTAACTTGGAATTATTGCACCTTGGGAAAGGAGCCAGGGGGCCGAGCTCTAGAGTATCTTACCTCCATGCACATGGACTGCTACTGCAGCTCCCATGGTACAGACTGCTTTTGCCATGGTAGAGGCTCCCCAGGGCCCACTATCCTGGTGCTGACTCTAAAGTAGCACCTGGAATTGATGTACTGCTCTCTCATACCTTCTTACACTATGGTATGTGTAGGTCCTTGTTGTTGCACAGTAGTGGGGCTCTGCCTCCTGCCTTTGCTGACCAAATCATTTATATCTTTGTCTGCAGGCAGCTTGAACCTGAAACCCTTTTCATTTCAATGCAACTGTGTTGCTGAGACTATTTTTCTTCATTCATGTGTGTTCAAGGTGGATAGTTTGTTCCAAATTTTGAATTTTTTTGTGAGTGTTTCTGTAGATACCATCATCTTCTACATTTTCATGAAAGATATTTACAAATGTAGATAATGATTTTGTCTTAGGGCATGTTAATTTTAATATTTAATACATTAGTTCCAGTTTTCTAAGAAAGGTCTTTAACTAGACATCTAAGGGATGCGTTAGGTATCCAAGTGTGGATTTTAGCAAGTAACCTAATCTATACAGTGGATGTCTAAATAAAGATGTGTGTGTATATCTATATTTATACTGTGGTAACAAATAAGTGAGTACATGAAAGAAAATGTTTGTCATACAAATTGAGTCCTGGATTTATAAAAGGGGCTGTAGTATACATGGCAGCACAAAAAAGATCTTTTCCAGAAAGTTACCTTTGTGAATGCTTAAAATTAAAATCAAGCTTTATAGAAACCATCACCTCTGAAAAAATGTCTTCATTAAAGCTTTCCCAAACATATCAGATGTTTACAAATACGAAATGTGAAAGAATCGCCTTTGTCTTAAGAATTTCTGTTGAAGGAAAAAATGTCTCCCGCATGTCAAAAAAAGTATATAATAACCCCCTACTGGATTTCAAATCTGTCATTTCCTACAGTGCAGTGGGATTTTATCGGAAACTGGTAAAATCATTAAGTTGTCAGTCTTGAGATATTGCAGAGTGACAGGACAGAAACTCTCATAACTTGAAAAGGTAACAATGTTAAAGTAACAAGCAGGAACATTTGACTAATGTTAGAAAAGAAATTGTATGAACTCTGGTCCAAGGAAAATATGCTCTCAAATATCCAGTCCTTCAGAGAGAGTTATAGCTCATCCTGAGTTTGTGAATGCGTAGAAATGTATATTAGGGAAATTATATTTATTAAGCTAACTAAAAACAAATATGCACCTTTCATTTTTGTCATTAATATTCTGAAAGAAAATATATATACATGTCACAGCATATAAACCAATCAGGTTTTTTGGGGGGAGGGGGGGGGCGGTTGAGTGCTCTATGATCTGTTTCATTTATACTCGGCATCTAATGTACTTAGGTATTGCATACTGATGTTTCTCAAGAGAGGTGGGCTGGTCAGTATGTATGAAAAGAAATGCAAGATGAATTTTCATTATAAAAATGAAACAGTGAAAAAAATACACAGTATAGACATTATAGGACATGATTTAAGTTTGAGAGGCATGAATTCATTTGGTCAACGCAACGTGTCAGCACATGGTATGTATTAAGAAATAATGCGTGGAGTTTTCAGCAAGACAGTCATATTAGTGGTGAGTGAACTTAGTTGTAGGCAAAAGAAATGCCAATGTATTATAAAGTAATAGCATACCAGTAGTGTTTAGTCTTTGTATAACTCCTGTAGAGTTACCTAAGCATAAACATAGACCAAACTGTTGTCAAAAAGTAACACTTGATTTAAATTTTCCCTAAACCTCTGCCACACATTTTGAGGTAATCTGAGAAGCTGATATATACAGTTAGAGGATCATGTTTTATTTTTTTTGAAAATTTGACTTAAGGAATAATTAATCTTCATTTTTAAGAAATGCATTAATCTTTTATTGTTATTATAGGAAATGGGCTTTATGCATTTTTTTCTGTTACTTTAGAAAGCCTGATTTAACTCCAACTAAAAATAATGGCAGTCATTTCATTGCTTTTAATGCATGTGTCAGTAAGCCCCTTCTAGAGTGTTATTCTATCTTACTTTACAGTGTAATTATCAATATTGTAGGAAGATGGCTTTTCTATATCACTTTAAGCTATTTTTTGCTTCCGTAATGACCTAGATAGCCAAGAAAAGCTATAGGAATGAGATCTATGAGAGCTCGTTTAAAGAGTGCTCTGAGAGCATTAGCTTCATTGATAGTTTTATATCCCACTGTAATGATTGTTATTTTTGACCAGTGATAGAATAGTTTGCACATGCCCTCTTTGCATACATACATCATCTCAATGGGTCATCTTAGTATACAATTGACCTGCAAACAGGTGGAGTATGGAGATAGAGAGCCTTGGTGGTAGAAATACCAGATTTGGAAAGTGGGGCGGGGGGGTGGGGGAGGTAATTGTAACAAAAAATTGTGTTTGAAGTCTTATTGTGACTGCAAGAAGTTAGATCTTCTCTTCCATCACAGTATCCTCAGATTTCTTTTGTAGAAAAGTAAGATGACTTTGGGCCAGTATGAGTTCTGAGAGGGTCAAGAAGGATTTTTGATATCCAGTTGTTTTTACGCATTTTCTTGATGATGCTTACTGATGGGGCTTCCAGTTGAGGGTGTACCATGGAGGCCCATTAGTGATTGGAGCTGCTGGCCATGGAGAAAAACCTTGTGCTTCCAGGGTTTGGAGCTCCACCGGCTGATCTGGGCTCGCAGCTGGTGGAAGTCGCTGTGCTCCCCCAGCTTGGAGCCCTGATCAGCTGACCAGTTCTTCCAGCCTCCAAAGCACACAGCAGTCTCGGGGGCTGGAACCACTGGCCACACACTCACTTAAAAGCACAATAGGAATCAGTGACACAGTTTTTATATGTATATTGCATAATAACCTTGCCACTTATTCCTGCTTTTATCACACCATTCATTGAATGAACATGTGGCCAGGTTGCTACTTAAGATGTGATTAACCAGTCAGCCACATCTTAAAAGTAACATGTGTCAGGAGCCTGATATAAATACTGTTGAAAGCTTACATTTTGTCCTCTTAATATTTAATACATTTGTTGCTTTGCAGGCAGCATCCCTGACAGTGGATTCCTGTTCTGAAGATCAGGAGCCAGGCTACTGTACTGTTAGTAATGTGGCTGTTGCCACTGACTGGTAAATACTTCTTTTTTTGTTTTTTGCTATAAATGAAAAGAGAGAACTAACAATAATAAAAATTAAAACCACCCTCTCTAAATACAGGAGACATTTAGAACAACTACTTTGTCAAGCAACAGGAAAGCTTGTTCTTTTAGGCACAACAGCTTCAGAAGTGGCCCCAGAAGACTTTATTTTTTCGGTATATGTATCTTTCTACTTCCCTGTCTGGTTCCTTTTAGATCTGGGAGGTGGTAGTTGTGGTAGGAGTAATTTTCAACTATCCTATGACAGCAGCAGCAAATTACAGTGTATTCCTTTGTTGGTAAAGCTCAGCTGTGCTAATTGGTGCCTTGTAAAGGGCAGGAATAAGTGGAAGAGCCCAAACAGCTCACTTTCTAATTCGCTTTGTGCTTTGGCTTTGGGGGAAAGGATCAGTTGCACAACAGTGGTTTGACTGGACAATGATAAAGAAGGTTCATATCTACCTTCATGGAACCAGAGTTTAGATCACAGTTTAGCCAAAACTGGTTATAAAATCAGAGTAGCAGACAGACAGAGACAATAGACAGATGTGCATTAGTAGTGCCACAAGTGCTACAGTACTTGGAAGTACTACAGAAATTCAGCATTAGAAGGGATGTGCATATGCACAAAGTCCCCATCTCAAAACACTACAGTTGCCACAAAAACATGCTCTCCAGTCAGAAAGTTGCTCCCCTCCGACTGTCAGGGAGGTGAATTTACAATATTTATGCAAATCCAGGACAAGTTTGTTTTTTTTTCCCTGGTCCCATTCAGCATAGGAAAAAAGCCCCTCATCTTGGGTTCAGGTATAAGGTGGAAGGACCAGGGCAAATGGCTGCTGTGGCTTTGACTCCAACGCTGAGTCTAGGTCACAGCCAGAGTCAGAGCCACAGCAGCTATCTGCCCCTCACCCCTCCTCCTCCATTTACCTTCTGTAGCCTCTGGCCCTATTCCCCTTCCTTGTCCTTGCAGCCTCTTTCCCTTCCGCACCCGCTACTGTCATGCTTAGCAGCTCACCAGCTCTGGCTCCATTCCCTCCCAGCACATGGAAGCTCCTTCCCCTACCTGTCCTATTAGCAGAGGTGCAGCTCTGGCCCCAGGACATTGCTGTACGGCCCCGCAGGGCCTGTGCTTCCCTGTACTCCATGCCCTGGCAGGGAATGGCCCTGGAGCTACATCTGACAGCAGGGGGAGGGAAGCGGGCAGGGGAGAGCAAGTGCCAGTAAAGACAGAAACCAAGTCAGATTGACTTCAGTGAAGACAGGATTTTACCCCAGAATTTTTCTTTTAAATATCACAATGTTACCTCAGCAGCAATTAACAGAGCATTTGGTAGCATTCTGTTTTTTATTTACTCTGCCTCTTTCCAACTCAAGTATTCTTTGAAAAATGTAAATTCTGCAGCGTTTAGTACTGGAAATTTTCTAAAGTAAAACCTCATACTGCTTTAAAACCATATTTAACCCATCATGTTCACTTTACCAAATGGAGGAATGAAATTCTAGCAGTTAAACTATCTCCAAAATTTCAATCTGGGATTATTGAGCTTTACTTTAACTTCTTATGAAGTGGCACCAAATCATATGTGTGCTACATCTTTCACTTTATTATTCATTTTACTTGCTTTTTTCTTGCATTTTATTAGTAGCAATTTTCTGTTTCTGTTATGGGGAGTGTTATGAGGATTAATTAGTTAGGATTTCAAAAATATTTAGAAGATGAAAGTTGCTTTATTAATCTAAGTACCATTGCTATTTGTAGCATTACTCCTGATTGCATTTCATGTTGTTTCATTTAGCTACATAGTTTGTTCTTTAAAAATAGTTTATTCCCTTGTAAAATCATGAATCCATTTTACAGTTATTTTAATATAACCCACAATTTAAAATAGCATTTGGTCACATCCTTATTCAATACAGACTGAACCAAAACTCTCAGTCAAATCAATCGGATAAATATCTTGAGTAAAAACTGATTGAGAACTTAAAGCTGAGGCCTATTTTAATTATTATTTTAGATTGCCTTTAACTGGAACTGATTCATCATTGGATATAATAAATCTGTGATTTTAAATAATGAACCACAGAAATTGAGGAAATTGAATGCAGAAATAGATTCTGTGGTATATTTAGAGTCATTTGATGATCTATTTCCATTGGTGCTCCTTTATGTGCTGATGTGAATTCACTAATTCTTCTATTTTTGCTCTAGGACCCTGGATGTTCAACCAAATCGAGTTACTGTTGGTGGCATCAGATCTCTAGAGCCAATACTTCAAAGAAGAGGACAGGTGGAAAGCCATGATTTTGTGGGTTGCATAATGGAGTTTGCAGTCAATGGACGTCCTCTGGAACCCAGCCAGGCTTTGGCAGCTCATGGAATCTTAGATCAGTATGTCAAGTCTATAATATCATATACACAGAATAGATAACAAAGGAAACTAGTGCAAGAGTGAGGCATTAACTAACTCAAATATTTATTGGAAACATGAATGGAAACTATATTATAAAATGTAAAGAACTTTGGAAGAATCTAAATTTGGATGGAAAAAAAATCAAAATTGAGAGACTGAAGAAACCCAATTGCAATTTTCTTTAAAGCAGCAACAGTATATTTCTGTTTATTATTATTGTTTTATAGCGGTCTGAAATAGAGTAGCTTTATACTTACATTTTCAAGTAAATTCCACCTGGACTTAACTGTATTGGAATGGTTCACTAAACCTCCCCGTTTTTGTCCCACATGTCTGTTCTCTCATTTTACCTCTCAAATATCACTGCATTTCTCTTGCAACATCTCCCTTTGTGAGAACACTTTCAGAAATGATTGATTAGCTGAATTTGCTGGGTCTTTTTCATCTTGTTTGAAGTTATAGTTGTGGCAACAGTATCGCTTGCAAGACCACAGTTGCTAGTTCATCCTTCCTGCTTTCACCTCCCTAGTTTGTGAACTTTATGGTAGAAGGCCTCCTAAGGCTCTTTAGACTGTAGATATCAACTCCTGTACTGTTTTCCTAGAAGACAGCATTTTGGAACATCCCACTAAGTTAAAAAAAATCTCTTAATTTTGTTATCTCTCAAAGGCCAAGACTGATGCCAGGCAAAACCTTTTCAGTAGTACCTTGGACTGTTTAACAATGAAAGGTGGCTTTACGCTTTATTTCACATGTGTTTGGTAGATTGAATGTTAACCCCCCCCACCCATGCCCACCTCCTTTAAAAAGATAATTGTCTACAAACATATTTATGGGTTGGATGGGTTTTCCACTTAACCTTATACCTTACTACTGTGTTTGTATCTGCTTAAAACTCTGGAGTGGTAACCTCATTCAAAGACCACCAGGTCTGAAAATCTCTGGGCTCATTTTATGTTGGGCAAAGATTCTGATGACATTACTCCTTTGTACCTAAAAGTAGTGCATTCTGTTCTGGTTTATTCTTCACCAGTTGCTTTCCCCGTTATTGTTTCAGATTTTTTTTTAGAGTACTTACACAATTTTCATTTTTCTTTCCTAGCTCTATAATATTTGTAGAAAACGAGACTGAAAAAGTTAAGGGAAGGATCTGAGTATAACTTAAAATCATATAATGTAATTTTATGATTTCCAATTGTTTTTACTGTATAACTGTTTTATGACTTTCATAAAGCAATTGAAACATGCTTGAGAACAGTGGTCTTTGAGAAGATTAGTATTCATGAGTGTTCACGTGGTTATATGTGCTTATGAAAATTATTACAAACTGTAGAGTTTATAATCTAATGTGAAGTAATAAAATGGCTTATCTAAAGAGGGACACTCAGGAAGGTTAAGCCATTTTTTTAAATATAATTGTTAAATCACATTAAATGCCTATGTGAATAGTCTTACAATTACTGTCTTCAGTAGAATAAACACGAGCTAATCAAGGTCACTTTAATAATCTCAAGGTCACCCAAGAAGTTAATGTTTTTTAACCAGTCTATCTGAAATTCACACTTTTTAATTTGGATCAATTTTCATGAGTGTGGACAAGCCAAAAAAAAGTTTCTGTTTCCCCTTCTCTGTTAATGGGAATCCAATTCCCTCTGAAATCTTCCTTCATTTCTAATACAATTAAAATTTGGCATTGAAAATGGGACCCATTTAGATATATTAGACTTCTAGAGTGCAAATTTTACTGTTTTATAGAGCCTTTAAACAATTGCCTTCTTGCTGAGTAAGAGGGTACGTACAAGAGGGAGCACACATGAGGCTGTATTCAGGAGGATTGTTCTGTATGTTCAGCATACATGCTTCAATGACTACTCTTCTGATTTGTTCTAGATGCCCTAGATTAGAAGGAGCTTGTTCAATTAGTCCTTGTCAACATGGTGGCACCTGTGTCGATCACTGGTCATGGCAACAGTGTCATTGCAAAGAGGGACTGACTGGAAAACACTGTGAAAAATGTATGTAGATATCATAATTTGTTTCATTTACAATTAATCTAAAGTGGAATGAAATGCAATTGCATTTTCTGTTTAGATGCACAAGATAATGTACTTTTTTAAAATAATTAAAATGTGTCATGCCAGCATTCAGTATTAAATAATTATGAAGAAAAGTAATATATGATCTTTTGCCCTAGCATCAGTTTGAATGTGATGAAACGTCAAATACAAAATCACATATATATCTATAAATCCAAATAAATACACATTATTTACCTCATTATAAAAAATCTGTAATGATAGATAGTTTGACACTTTAACTTAAAAAACCAAAGGACAGTAGAGGATTACCTGCTGCATTAATGTTATTAATTCATATTCGAATTAAATATGGAATTACAATTGCTCTGTTCATGTCATATCCTCTATTTGCTTACAAGTGCTTCTATGGCTTTTGTCAATGTATAAACCATTATAGTATGAGATTACAGAAGAATTTTATGGAAATTGTGAGAGCATGTGTGTGGGGGGTTATACTGCATTAGTATTTTAAATTATTTTTACATTAGCCCAAAAGGTGTTGGACGCTTTACAAAAATAATAGAAAGGCCTTGTCACTGCCCTAAAGAGCTTACCGTTGGATTTTTATTACAAGGATGGGGAACAGGAGCATCCCTGGGAAGGAATTATATCTCAGAGAGCCCAAATTCCCTCACTTATTCCCAGGGAGTTTTAATTTACTGCTAACTGATACCAGCAGTAAATTATTAACTTCTGTCTCTGTCTGTGTCTCTGTCTCTTTCCTGTATCTCAATCTCTCTCTCATTCTCTTTTTTCCAGCTCTTTCCCTCTCCCTCTATCTTTCTCTTTTATTCACACTCCTACTAATGCAGGTTCAGCCACATTGGCAAAAAGTAGAGAGGTGGAGGCTTCAGTCACTCCATTTTCTCCCACCTACCTGCTTGGAATTTGACAATTTCTGAGGAAGATAATTAGATATGCTCAACACTTTCCCTTACCTTTGTCCTAGATATGACTGCCGATACTGCCTTGTCATTAGAAGGTAAAGGACGCCTTGACTACCACATGAGCCAGAATAAGAAACGAGAATATCTGATGAGACATGGCACTCGTGATAATATTTTGGAGCCCCCAAATGTGAACCGTTTAGAAGTGAAATTCAGAACAAGGAGTGAGAATGGAATTTTAATTCATGTCCAGGAAAGCAGCAATTACACTACTGTGAAGGTAAAGATTATAGCTAATGCTGACTTGATTTGATTAAACTGCCTGCTGTGATGTGATCAAAATCACTTCCTCTGTTACCTTTGCCCTTTTTTTGGAAAATATTGGCGCTTAGACTACTGCTGGGTACTATTCCAGGGTCATTCATCTTCCTAACTATTTCCTCATTATTTGCCAAAGTATCAAAAGATCTTAGTGGTTTTCTTTCTAATCAGTTTCATCGAGATTCTGAGTAATGACACCTCTAAGACTAGCAGGACCGGTGTTTGTTGCCGTATTTGATATCACTAATTAGTTACACTCTAAAGTGCAAGACTTCTCCCTCATGGCCTTTTATCTTCCAATTCTCTTCCCCATGATGTCTGACTGCCAAACAAAACAACATGTTTTCATGAATTACTACTAACATACATGCCTCATCACACCGGGCAATTTTATGTTGGATCCAGAAAGTTATCCTTCTTGGAGTTTATCTTCTCCATTGAATGGAGATGTAAAGAAAGGGCGATAATTACCTGATTTGAGATGCATAGCTGAATTCATGCTTCAGGCTCCATATAGCTTTGTCCCAAGTGTTTATCACTGCAGAAATTACCTTTCTCAAGAAAAAAACGGATGGGTTCAGTCCCTGACTTTGATTCAATCCACTTAGTCAGAATTCTTAATAAGTACAGCAGTGATGCTGGCAAACCTCTTTATTGCTCCAAGCTCCAAGTTTCCTTGACTACTGTAAATCTTTCCAGTTTTTTTCCCAGCTTTGAAAGAAACTCCTACGTAAGATCACACTTTCTATAATTCAGCCAGCCATGTTATTGTCCCCCTGCCTGGTTTCCATTCTTACAAAGCATGTAGATCTTCTCTGACATTAGCAGCTTCCAAGAAACACAGGATCCATCATCCATTTGCATGCAACTATTCCTCATCATTTAGTATTAAAAGAATAGTTCATTATAACATTTTAAATTGGGTTGTATTAAATGAACAGGGCGTTTCCTTCCAGTCCAGATTCTAGCACCCTTTTTATATTACTTTTATCACTCATAATAGAGATATAAAAATCGATAGCTCTGTGATCTGAAAACTTAGCCATGTGAAGTAGAATTCCAGAAACCTGTGGCTAACTGTTGGGAGTAGGGGAAAGAAGCAGCCAAGATGGGGAGGTATATGGGGCCAAGAGGAAGGGAGCAAGCTAGAGGGTGTGTGGCTCACGGAGGTGGCTGCTGTGTGTTCAGTGGGGCAGAAACTTCTCCACTGGACTGCCCACCACCCATTTTATCCAATGACTGTTAAATCTGAGCATCAGTGTTTCAGCTTCAAAGGAGCATAAGAGAGGGACTGGATAAACACCTAACCAAGTGGCATGATGGAACATTTTGTTGGAAAGTCAGAGGAATTCAGGTCCAAACACCATCTTGGTGAAGGAGGCCTAAAACCTGGGTCTTCTTTTTTCTGGGAAAGTGCCTTAACCCCTCCACTTTAGGGCTACAACATGGGAGGGTCACGATCCTCCACCCGCCCCCGCCCCAGCCCATCTCCTTGCTTTGTCCCACTTATATAAAACCAAATACATGCCCAACCAGTGCATAGCTTAATGTGCATATGTTCAGTCTTATGTGCACGCTTCTGGCTCAAGAGTGAAAAATGCCCAAGGACATGGCTAGAAAACTGCCATTTAGGTACACAAAAGGAAAGAGAATTTTATTAATAAAGGCTATTTTGGTAAGTATCAGTAAGATCCTTAAAATTTGTCTATAATTACAGCAGAAAACCTGAGGACAGCTGTCTACCAGGACCTATAGATTAGGGAAGGAAAGTTAATCTGCCTTGCACTTTTTATTGGTGGACAATTCCCAGATGAATTACCTTAAAACTGAATTCTAGTTAAGCTTGCATCCTAAACTGCAAGTTGTGACACTTGATTCATATTACCTGAAATGACACATACTTTGTGTCTTTCTTTTCTTCCTGCTTGTCCAAGGCTTCATGCCCACTCAACCTTAAGGCTTCTGTCAACGTAAAAAATTTAGAGGTTCAGACTAACCACATACCTTCCTTCACGTGCCATGATGTTCTACATATTGTGGCCAAATTATTAATCTTTTTGAGCTCAATTTAGAGACCCACTGACTTCCGTTCTGAATTTTTCAGCAACTGAATATGCACCACTTAGGAAATTAATTTTATGCATATGAGTTTGAAAATATTGGCCCATCTTCCAAATTAGCTGGATGTTTTGATTTGTATGGCCCTTTACAGTTATTGAATAGCAAGATAGTAATCACATGAAAGCAGTAATATCTAAAAATCTGTAAAAGACAGCATATAATTATAATGATAATCTCATTAACTTGTTCTTGTTTATCAAAATAATTAATATTATTACTATTAAATTATGGTACAGTGGTGCATTCTGCCATTTTTCTAATCTGTTTAACTGATTTTAGTAAAATGATGATGGGATAAAATTAGAATAAAATAGGAACAAATTAAGTCCAACAAGTCTTTCTATTTAAAAATAAAAATAAAAATGGATGTATTGGGATAAATAGGCATCTCTTTATGATTTAGAGCAGGGGTTGGCAGTGCTGTCTGGTGGTGGACTGGAACCACCCAGCTCAGGTCCAAGGCAGCTTGGTGCTAGGATCCGGCCACCACCACTGCTTCTCCCCACTGCCACTTCTCCCTGCCGCGCAACCAGAGTGCAACATGAGTGAAGCCCCCCACCACTCAATGCTGACAAAGCTGCTCACAGCTTATAGGTGGCTGACCTCCAATTTAGAGGATTCTTTTATGTAGAAGGCAAAGGCACTAGAAGTAGAAGTTAAGTTAATTCAGACTGGAAGAAACAAGAAAGAAGAAAAAGATAGCGGTGAGGATAATGAATCACTACAGTCATTTACAAAAGGATAAGGTGGATTCTCCAATTAAATCTGTAAATCAAAATTGTTTATCTTTCTAAACCTTATGCTTTAACTCTGCCACAAGTTGTATGTGCAGCAGTTACTTGATGGAATTGTCTTAAATAGATAAGCAGAGTATATGTTCATAATGGTCCTTTCTTAAAATCTGTGAATCCCTGTATTACAACATAAATGGTATACATAATAATACTGAATAACTACAAATATGCCAGTTGGGCAAGTTAAAATATGATTATTTATGTCATATCTAAACCAGAAGGCTATAAATTTTAAAGGGAATATGTTGTTTTAAAAGAAGAATATGCTGTTTGTTGAACAAAAGGGACTTTATGGCTTAACAGTGCAGCCAAATGCTTCCCCTATATGGGATTCTGTGTTTTTGTTTAGGGGTTCAATCTGGTCAGTTTCACTGCCTTGGCCAGTCTCACTGCCTTGCAAATAAACCCCATAAATGGGCCCTTCAGCGTGTAATCAGTATAAACTATTTGTTTCAAGTTTAGAAATATGGTGTGGTTCAAGAAACTGGGAGCCACATTCTTTCTTCCTGATTGAAGGAGTCGCAATCAAGTCTTGTCACTGGAAATTTTATATTTTCTATGTGCCAGTGCTGCGTTATTTATGAGCCTGTTAGCATTGGCCACATGCAATTTTAAAGAAAAAGAAAGTTCTTAAGGGTCATAAATCACTAGGGAATGTATTGGTTGTTGGCAGGTAGAAGAATTATATTATGTGGAGTTAGAAATTAAAGACCTGGGTTTAGTATTTCAGTAGGCCTTGAACTTATCATTTCATATATAGTTGTTGTTTTTTTGGTATAGAAGTCTAAAAATAAAAATGAAATTCTCTCAAGTCTTCATTCCCCTTCATCTATAAAAGTCCAAACAAATAAAAAGGAAAAAAACACCTAATTTAAATGTAAGCTGTAAAAACTTCACTTAATACAAAAGTCATTGTTTTACAAATATTTTGAAGCTAACAAATGTGATGGATTTCAATCTAAGTTCCAAATGTGGGATTCCTCTTTTCTTGAGGCATAATTAAGCCATATGCTACCTGAGTTTGCAAAAACAAAACCATCCTGTCATTTTTTTTTTTTTGCAGAACTTTATTGAAGATATTCTAAACCACAAACTCAGAAACTCTGATTTGTGGTACAGTTTTCTAAAAAGAACCACACAATTCTATCTGACATATCAGGTGTATCCAGGAAACAAACGACCCAAGTGGCAAAATGTACTAGGTACATTTGTACATTCCAGACTTTTGAACAGTCATATAATTCAAACTCTTTCCAGGACATGAGCATGTTCTGGCAGCTGCAATAGAGCTAGTCTATATGATCAAACATTTCAGCCTTCATATGTCATTTCTTTCAGTAACTTAGAAAATGCACAGTATATAACAGTTTCTAGGAATTAAAAGTATTATCATCATATTAGCCAGTGCTTCCCCTCACACTTCATAAGTAAATTTAATTTTGTCCTTGAATGAACTATTTGACATTTAAGAAATAGTACAAATGCTATCAGTGGCTATAAATTATGGATATCCATGTCAATTTGTACATGTGGATCAACCCACAGGTGAGGACATGAAGAAAAATGTTAGGTTTTGTGCTTTTCTTTTTTTCAAACATGCACTATAGAAGGCTGGTGTGGAATATATAATACATTGTAGAACACTGGCATCATGTCTGACTCCCTTTGACTCCTCACCCTAAATAACCATGTACCTGTAACAGCTGAGTCAAGTGGAAAGAGCATTTGGCATGAATCTAGAATAGTGCTTGAACTCATGCTTCCATGGATATAGCAAGACAGTTTAACCACTCTGCCACCACATCTTCTCTGTAAAACAGGACTGTCCAACTGGCACCCCATGGGCTGCATGTGGCTTGTAAGGGGTTAAGTTGCAACCATCAGGCTCCTGCTTGTCCACCTTTCCACCTTTCCCCTCCCTCTGGCTGTAACAGCAGTCAGGAGTTCTGTGCTCCCCCTTCTACCTCTGACTGCCACTTCCTGCCCCCGCGGCAGGAGATGGGAGAGCGCGGTGCAGGGAGCCAAAGACGAGTCTGGGGCCATGCGGACACATGGTGAGGTGGCAGGGAGGTACCCACATGGGCTCACAATACAGCAGCAGAGGCATCCATGTGGGGTGTGGCTTGGGGGCCCATGGCTCACTTTGGCATGGCCCATGGGGCGTGTGACCCGTAGCTGCTTGGACAGCCCTGATTTTAAAAAAAAATATGGTTCAGTGTAGAACTGGGGGGACTGACGTCTCCCAGACCACCATCCCCCATGCATTTTTTTTCTGGATACTTGCTGTGTCCTAATGAAAACTAGATACGTATGCTTTGGAATAAGGACAGTTTCTATTTGTTTTATAATGTACCTAACATCCTAATGCTAAATAAGCAGAAGGTTATGTATGCTGAAAAAATATGTTTTGTCTACTTGTTTTCAGAGTACTCTCCTGCTCTGAAACACTGGCAATTTTTTCGTCTAAGGGAATGTCTGAAAAAAGGATAAGGTGGGAAAGGCAAAAAAAATTTCAAGGAAAAAATTGCTTTCCTAATTGAATGTCTTCAGAGCAAAGATATAAGATACAATTAATATAAGTGTAAATATCTATCCTTTTACTCTAGTAACTTCTTAGTAGGGTAATATAAAATATTTTGTTTTCAGAAGGGGAAAAATAACTGGAATCTTACTGCAGACAAATTCAGGTGGCTTCAAACATGAGTAGCCATTTCTCTGTATGACTAAATAGGCACTGATGTGCATGGGGCTGGGGTGAGGGGCATCTATATGCATCTATTTAATAGTTAAATTATTTGAATTACTGTGATTGACATCAGAAGGCATTATATTTTATTTAAGATGCATCGTTACAATTTTAAAAATACGTTATATGCCTTTTTCTTTTTTTTATTTCTTAGATAAAAAGTGGCAAAGTGCATTACACATCTGATGCTGGAATTGCTGGGAAAGTGGAGAGGAATATTCAAGAAGTTTACACAGCAGATGGTCAATGGCATTCTCTCCTTATTGAAAAGAATGGGTCTGCTACTATTTTGTCTGTCGACAAGGCCTACAGCAGAGAGATTCTGCACGTCACACAAGATTTTGGAGGACTTAATGTCCTTACAGTTTCCTTGGGAGGGATCCCACCTAACCACGCTCCTAGAAGTACCAGTGCTGGTAAGAAGAGAGAGAGAGAGAGAGAGAGAGAGAGAGAGAGAGAGTGTGCGTGCGTGCGTGCGTGCGTGCGTGCGTGCGTGCGTGCGTGCGTGCGCGCGTATTTTTTTTTAAATGCTTCCTTAGGAGCCACTTATTTAATTACAACCATTTAAACTTGAAGCACCAAGAAGGGGTCTTATGTGTTTAAACATTTGAAAGAAATAATGTAACAATTTATTAGTAGGATAAAATCTGCACATTTTAGCCTTGACAGCTTCTATTTTAAGTCAACGAAAGTTTTGCTGAAGTGAAGACTAAGGATTTGATCCTTTCTTACATATTTTGACATATTTCTGTTTCAAAGAAATATGTTTAGTCTTTGTTGCTTTATAGTCTTGAGGCAGTGAATAAATCATGCAGTTTGGCTAGTATCAGTGGCTATATTATTAGCTAGCTAGAATAATGTAAATCTAGGCAAATCTTTCCCCAAGGCAAAGTTGCTAACTGAAAATGTTGTCCCACTGAGGGTTGGGTAAATCCAGGCACTGCAGGATATGGGTGCCTGGCAAGTGTTCAAAAAAATGGCATGATCAGGATGGGAGGAATTTTCTTCTGCAGCCCAAACATTGTGCCACCTCCCATGCCAGACGTGCATGACAGGAGACACAATGTCTAGGATGGCAAAATTCTTCCCAATCCAGTCATGCCACTGCTGAGCTGCCCCAAGCCAATCTGGCAGATTGGGCTGGGGGAGCTCTGTCCCAGACCCAGGCTGCACAGAGCATCCTGCAGGTTCCAGACCCTGTTTGGCGGGTTTGAGTCCGTGGGTTCAAGACTGAGGGATGGGTGTGACAATTAGCTGATTGTCAGACCCAGCCATGATAGTTCCTGGCTAATTCAAGACCCTGAGCTGCTGAAGCAAGTCCAACAATCAGCTGATTTTTCAGGCTTGATCTCAACAGTCCCAGGTCCACTTTGAGACCCAGGACTGGTCCGGGGTAGATTCCTAGATTTATAGATTGTTAGGGCCTGGAAGGGATCTTGCAGATCATCGGGTCCAGCCCCCCTGCTCTAGGCAGGAAGACAACTGGGATTAGGTGACCCCAGTGAGGTGACAGTCTAGTCTCTTGAAAAACTCCAGGGTAAGTTATTGCACCACCTCTGGTGGGAGTTAATTCCACAGTCTGCACACCCTGACCGTGAAGGAGTTTTTCCTGGTATTAAGACTGAAACGGCCTTCCAGGAGTTTATATCCATTGGTCCTGGCCTTCCTCAGGGGTGCCCGAGTGAGCAGTTGTTCGCTGAGCTCCTGATGCACTCCTCAGTAGGTCTGATAATAAGTTAATTTTAGCCCAGCTCTGGGACAGCCCAGCAACACTCATAATTTTTGGAAGTCCTGGAGCACTGGGACCCTGAGATCAATGACCCTGAGGTCCCTCTGCATTTAAAAAGTGTGCATTCAACCAGGCTCCCTGCAACCCAGTATTTTTAGGTGCCTTGTCCTGCAGCCTCCACGGAAGCTACAAGGCGAGGCAGGAAAAGCTGCTGGGCTCAGGGGTTGCCAGGCTCCCAGCAGCCAGAGCCCTTTGGCTCCCCCTGCCCAGGAGCCTTACAACCCACTCTCCCAGCAGCTGATTTTTGGCACCAGAACCAGGGTCATCCTGGTCCTGATGCTGATCACAATCTTATAATCAGTTGATTGTAAGCAATGTCTTAAGTATGCTGCATGTTCAATTTAACAAGCCACAAAGATGTTCCTTATTTTGGGAGAATAACTTTTTGTGGCGGGTTTGCCACTTTATGGCATCATATATCAACTGAATGTGTAGCACTTATTCCTGTTTATGGTGCAATTAACACATTAATTGCACCATAAATGTAACATGTGCCAGGAGCTTTGGTCTGTTGTCAATATGATTCCAATGGTTTCTGAAGTCAGCTTTCTTCTGCTTTATGCTGCTGTCAGATGAAGAAAGAGTAGGATTTATTTGTGAGTAGCAGAAACCACAGTTAGCAACACCCACTGAACACCATAAAACTGTTAAGAAGTAGATTCATTGCTTCTGAGATTTAGGCAACTGCCCAAGACTCTGGCAACAGAAATGGACAACACTTTAGTTGATATTATTTTTCTGATGATAAATAAGATGGAAGTGATTTTTATCTACAAACTGTGAAGTATGCCAAGGGTTTTAAAAGTCTTTATTTTGAAAACCTTCCTAGCTTACTGGATTATCACCAGATAAAGTAATTTGACTGTTACAAGTTACCACTTTGTGTTTTTGGCTCTTTTCAATGTAAACAATGATTTCCATGAATTGAGAGATGAGGTGTGATATCACCTCTGCCCTTTTTGCATTTGTATTTGATGACCAACCAGCAATATGCACATGAAAAATAAAAGACACTTCCAGCAGAAAAGGAACAAACAAAAATGAGGATGATTACTGCACACTCACACTGACTGGTAGGGAAATAAATTATGGGTGTCTGGCTTGCTTTAGGAATGCACAGTCCAAAATCTCTTTTTCATATGCTCTCTTTTAAATATTGGATTACACTATGAATGATGTAGAAAGATTTGCAGCAGGGAGAGAGAAAACTCTGCATTAAAAAGTATCTAAAGAACTAGAACAGAAGGACAAAAACATAAGCAGGTGACAGTTCCAAATACATGAAATCAGTGAATCCCATAATGCTGCCAAACCCAAATAGACATGACAAAATCCCAGTTGTTGCATATTATATCAGGGCACTACTAAAAAGGGACCCCAGAAATGAAATGAGCAAAACCCTTCATTTTGCTTTCTTCCCCACCTAAATCCTTAATTTCCTCTTTATTCAGAAGTATAAAAAGAAGAGAAAATGAATACATTTGTGTAACCAATGTAAGGATACCCAGTATTTTCACCAAGGAAAATTACCTCATGGTATAGCAATAGCAATAGTATGCAAACCTAGCAGTATTTTTATAGCCTTTTCATACTGTGACTTGCAGCCCTGAGCAAAACATCTGATGCTGGGGTAAAAAAAAAACAGGCTCTCATTTCTAACATCAGAAAATGTTCAGTCTACAAAGTAATAACCTTTAAAATATGAACTCCTTTACAAAATCATGCTATCTAATGCATCTTCACTACATCAACTATATCATGGAAGAGTCAGTGTTTATGCTGCACTTCTTTAGAGTCTTCTACAATGTGTTGTGATGTTAGTATAAATATTAGTGCGCTCTCATTTTCAACAATATTTATACCAATGAAGCCTTTTCGGACATAAATAATGAATGGATTTTTTGCTTTTAAAGTGTGTTGTTTCAGAATGTATTTTTCCCTCCCTTATCTACTCTTTATATTATATTCTATATAAAATTTGTTTTTGAATAGTTTCCTAAAAGCATGTACTCTAGAGTATATTCTAAAGTCCATCAATTGCAGTGTCAGGAGAAATGGAAAGTTTTTAAGCTGACTCTTAAAGGTTTGCAGTGACTTATTCCCATGAGTTAAGGATGGATTTCTAGACGCATACTTTCATAAGTGAAGTCAGAATTTTCAAAAGTTGGTACCTAACTTAATATTTTGGTACTATAGCAAGTCAGGCCCTGGGGCAGCCAAGTCACCCCTAGCAGCCACCTAGATCCCACCTTACTTGCCCCCTCTGGCCTCTCAGTGTCCCACCTTGTTGTCTCACCTGCCAAGCCTTGATGTTTTAATTGGACTGGGAGGTTGACCCTAAAGGTCAGGGGATTTTACTTCAGGTCCTAGATCCTAGTTTGGGCTATGGCCCCTTGGCCTTGGCTTGCTTTGCTCTGGCTGGGCCACTGTGTCTGAGGTCCACTGTCCCAGGCTCCAGCTACCCCTCCAGCCATACCCTCTGGGCCACTTGGCCTCTGTCTCCTGCCACACACTACAGGCCTCGGTTGATATCAATGCTTCTTTCAGGTCTACTTGCAGCTTCCAAACTTCTTGGAGGTCACAGCCTTAGCCCCCGTTCACTATCTGGCCCCTTTTGAAAGTTTTAAGACCTGGGGTGGCTTTCTCCTCCCCTACACCCACAGTGTTGTAACAGTGCTCTGGTTCAAACTTCAACACAACGAGAAAATATGAGCATCTGCTTCCAAACAAAAGGTTCCCCCCCACCCCCACCCTGCACTGAGTCAATGTCACACTGTGTTAACAACCTAAAAATACTTAGCTTTGCTGCCCAGTGATGCAGGAACTTCCTTGCAGCTCCCTGGAGTCTAGAGTCCTTCCTCCTTGGCAGGTCAGAGTTAGCCTATTCTGAGGCCTCTATTCTGAGGTCTTGGTTTCTAAATCCCTCTCTGGGTTTCCTGGCCCACTACTTCTGCCCTACACCTGTCAGTCACTGGCTACACCTGGAACTAATAGTGGCCCCTTGCAACCACTAGTCCCTCCGGGGGCCTGGAGCCAGCCACCTGCTCTCTGGCTGCCTCTTTCTGTCAGTAATGGGGTCAGGGTCTCCACTACAGTAGGTGAAGCCCTGACTTCTCAGAAGTACAGAAGTCATGTTCAGTTCTGGACTATTCATTTTTTCTCAGGGCTGCTGAAAAATGGTATGTTTATTTTAGTATGTCTCTGTGGCGATAGGTGCCAGCAATTACGAACTCAGGTAATGAGATGACACAAGTGTGTACTTGTTAGCTTTAAGTTTTGACCATCATTAATTACATCTCAAATGCTTCAAAATTTTTATTTAATAAACTTTTAAAAAAGCAAAACTTTTACATATGTTTTAATATCACTTTTAAATGCCATACTCAAAACCATCTTTGGACAGACTGTTGATTTGCTTGTTGTTATCCTCCAATAATTTCTGTATACAGCATATGAAAAGCATTAATTCTAAAAATGCGCTTAGACATGCCTGATAAATGTTGTGCTAGAAGCTCTCTGGAGCTTCCTTCCTTATTTAGTCTTGTTATTGCTTTTTAACACTTTACCTAGCAGAATTCAGTACTTGTTTAATTTGCCCTGAAAGTGAGATTTTATTTAGATGTTTATGAACAAATGATCCATTAAACCACTCAGGGACATAATTAGCAAAAGAAACACATTCTTACAATATGGTCCTAAACCAGGACCAGTTTTTTTATGCCATTTACATTGTTGTGAATGTTCAATAATCCCAGTGAATTCAGTGGAATTATCCCAGGTTTACACTAGCGGAGTTAAGATCAGGGGAATCTAAATGAAACAAAATATTTTTTCAAGGTAAATTCACTGGGAAACAGTTGGTGCCCAGGTACACTTCTGAAATCAGTAAGATCATATGATTATAACTAAGAGCCTTATTTGGTTCACAGATTTACACTGAAGGCTGACTAAAGTTACTTCAGTAAGCAAAGGCTATTGCTCTCAATATTATGTTCATAGGTTACCCATTATTATGTTCCTAGGTTACACTCTACATGTTACAACTGCATGTTCAAATTATTTATCACATCATAAAAAGTTCCAACCAGCTAGAGTTAGACCTCGGAAATGTGTACTAACTTTATAGCTGGTTGGTGTCCAGCTTCAATTTGCATGTGAAGCAGTGTCTCCCCTGTGGCTAGGAGCCCTGTCAATTGACCCTGCTCCCAGCAGCAGGGGTGCACTGTGCCCAGCTGGGAGTCCCACAATTGAGGGGACTCTCAGCCCTGGAAGCTGCCAACTTTGGGTCCCAACAGTGACCCCATGGCTGCTGGGACCTAGAGTGCTGGGCCCTGGCAGTGTGCCTCCTTCTGGTGCTGGGACCAGATGGGTTCCAGCAACTGCAGGGGTGGGTGCCATCTCCCAGTCCTGGTGGTGCATGGAGCCTCCGGGGTGGGAGGTCACAACTGCTTCAATCTCCCAATCTTGGGAGTGTGTGAAACACCCACAGCTGGGAGACTGTGACTGCTGTGCTCTCCCAGCCTCAGGGGTACATGAAGCCCCTGGGGCTGGGAGATCATGGCTGTCATGATCTCCCAACTCTGGGGGCTTCATGCACCCCTGTGGTTCGGAGATCATAGGAGCTGCATATCAGTTGAGGGGGCTCCCAGCTGTGGGAACTTGCTGGTGCAGGGGGAGCCCGGGATCTTTTTCCCTGTTTGTTCCTGGACATTGAAAGCCTTTATGCACGAGGCTAAGCCATATGGACCTTGTATTTTGAAGGTGCAGAGTAACGCTTTATTTTTCTCCCTAGGTTTTGATGGCTGTATTGAGTATGTGAAGTATGGTGGAGAAAACCTTCCCTTCACCGGAAAGCACAGCCTTGCTACCATATCCAAAACAGATCCCTCCGTAAAGACCGGTTGCCGAGGTCCCAATGTTTGTGCCAGCAATCCTTGCTGGGGTGAATTGATGTGCATTAACCAATGGTATGCCTATAAATGTGTCCCTCCAGGAGCTTGTGCCTCCAACCCCTGCCAGAATGGTGGTAGCTGTGAACCTGGTACGCATTCAGGATTTACATGCAGCTGTCCTGAGTCATATGCAGGAAGAACATGTGAAAAGGTAGTGGCTTGCCTTGGTATCCTGTGTGCCCCGGGACATGTGTGCAAGGGTGCAGTCAATGGAGGCCACATGTGCGTCCCTAACCCTCATCCAGCAGAGCTATCCCTGCCACTCTGGGCTGTACCTGCTATTGTGGGCAGTTGTGCTACAGTTCTTGCTCTGCTTGTCCTTAGCCTGATCCTGTGTAACCAGTGCAGGGGAAAGAAGTCAAAAGCACAGAAAGAGGAGAAGAAAAAGGAAAAGAAGAAAAAAGGAAGTGAGAATGTTGCATTTGATGATCCTGACAACATTCCACCTTATGGAGATGACATGACTGTCAGGAAGCAGCCCGAAGGGAACCCTAAACCTGATATAATTGAAAGAGAAAACCCTTACCTCATCTATGATGAGACAGACATTCCACATAACACAGAAACTATACCTAGTGCTCCTTTGGCTTCCCCTGAACCTGAGATAGAGCACTATGACATTGAAAATGCAAGCAGTATTGCTCCTTCGGATGCAGACATCATTCAACATTATAAGCAGTTTCGGAGTCATACCCCCAAATTCTCTATTCAGAGGCACAGTCCACTCGGCTTTGCAAGGCAATCTCCCATGCCACTAGGAGCAAGCAGTTTGACTTATCAGCCTTCATACAGCCAAGGACTACGGACAACTTCTTTAAGTCACTCTGCGTGCCCTACTCCCAACCCTTTGTCTCGTCACAGCCCTGCTCCATTCTCCAAATCGTCAACTTTCTACAGAAACAGCCCAGCACGGGAGCTCCATCTTTCAATAAGAGAAGGGAGCCCATTAGAGATGCACAATGATGTCTGCCAGCCTGGCATATTTAACTATGCCACTAGATTAGGAAGAAGAAGTAAGAGTCCCCAGACAATGGCAACTCATGGTTCCAGCAGACCAGGAAGTCGCCTAAAGCAACCAATAGGACAGATTCCTCTGGAGACTGCCCCTCCTGTAGGGCTCTCTATTGAAGAGGTGGAGAGACTTAACACTCCTCGTCCTAGAAATCCAAGCATCTGTAGTGCTGACCATGGAAGGTCTTCTTCAGAGGAGGACTGCAGAAGGCCACTGTCCAGAACAAGGAATCCAGCTGATGGTATTCCAGCTCCAGAATCATCATCTGATAGTGACTCCCATGAGTCTTTTACTTGCTCAGAAATGGAATATGACAGGGACAAGCCCATGGCATACACTTCCAGAATGCCTAAATTATCTCAAGTCAATGAGTCAGATGCAGATGATGAAGACAATTATGGGGCTAGGCTGAAGCCTAGGAGATACCCTGGCCGTAGAGGTGAGGGTGGGCCTGTGGGCACACAAGCAACAATATCCAATGTTGCTGAAAACACATTGCCCATGAAGCTTGGACAGCAAGCTGGAAATTTCAACTGGGACAACCTTTTGAACTGGGGCCCAGGTTTTGGGCATTATGTGGATGTTTTTAAAGATTTGGCATCACTTCCAGAAAAGGCAGCAGCAACAGCAGCAAATGAAGAAAGCAAAGGTGGTACAATAAAGCCTGTTTCCAAAGATGGGGAAGCAGAACAATATGTATAGACTTTATGTACTGGTATTATGAAAATGCAAAACCATGAAACAATGAGACCATTGTATGGTTAAGGATAAGTGAAGGTCAGCATTTGAACCGTAGGCCAGTTTGGTTGGAGGAGACTTTAAAAAAATAATAACCATTATGCTGCTGAAACAAACTCGGAACATTTTTTAATTTAATTATGCTTGGGTGAATTTATTTCTCCTGCATGCATTATAGTTTAAAAACAAGATATTCAGCATGCAGCATTGGGCAAGGTTTTCCTATTTACCATTGTTCAGTTTGTGATTTTTAAATTAATAATACTTTGTTCTGAAAATGAACTCAAATGTGTTTATTGTGGGAAGTGTGTGTATTGTCTTCATTTAATAACTCATTGTGCAATGCAAGAGTATTGAGGATTTCATTTTCCTTGAGAAGTGCATGGGAGAGGGAGTGTAAATGAAGGAATTACACTACTAAGGTTTCTCAGCAAATGGATTTACCATATCCTGCAGTTGCTCATATGTATACTTTAAGGAACAAATAAGCTTGAGTAATTGCTAGCAAAAGTGATGCAAGTCTTATCCATACAAGAGGTGCTAAAAGCGGCTCAAGCTGGTCAGCACTTTAGGGGGTTTGCTTTGGTTTGGGTTTTTTTTGTGCTTTTTTTGTTATTGTTGTTTTTGTTTTAATTGACAAAGTTGTGTGAGAGCTTCTGAATCCCTATGGAATTTGTTTTGGATGCTTGTTCCCTTCCCTGGGTCCCTCCCCAGTGTTTCTGACTGGAGTGAAATTATTGGAATTTATCGGATCAAACAGTTGTCATAGTCTAGAGAGGCAGTGTGGTCTAGTGGATTGAAAGGCAGTGTGGTCTAGTGGAAAGAAGCCAAGAATTCCTGGATTCTAATCTCAGCTCTGCTGCTGAATCATTATACAACCTTGGTCAAGTTATTCAACCTCTCAATTTTCCAGTTTCCCCACCTGTAAAATGGGATGATGATGATAATAATACTTACTTTACCTACCTCACAGGGCTGTTGTGAGGATTAATTAGTTAACGTCTGTAAAGTGCTGAAAAGTTATAAAGCACTATAATAAGTATTATCATAATTATTATTAAAGCACTGCCTAGCCTACATGACCTTGGAGTGGCATTTTCTACGTAATTTTCTATGACAGAACTTTTGAATTATTATTTATTATATAGAATAATTGCTGCACTCTAGTATTTTGGAGCTGACATGAGGGAAAACTACTAGTAGATTCACTTAATGTAGCTTGCCATTTTCCCCACATCTCCTGAAGTTTTAGGATAAGTAGAAATTCACAAAACCGTAAGTGTTCATGCAGATCAAATGATCCTATTGTACTGTGTAAAAACTTCAAAATCTTTTTTTTTTTTTTAACCTAAGCTGTGTTTTGATATCAATATTTTCCTATGCTGAATAGTTTTCTTACTTTCAGGGAAGGTAAGAAAAATACTTTTTTTACATTTGTTACTTATGTAACATCCATATTTTTCACATTTTGATAAAATTGTAACATACTGTATGCTTTCTACTTGTAAATGCCAATAATAGAATTAAAATATTTATTTAAAATGTTTAGTGCAAATCATTGGAAATACTTCTTTATTTCTCTATTTTTGCACCTGGATATTCCTCTTACCAAGCACATGTTTGCTAATGTACAACATATATGCAACAATCTGTTATGGTCACTCAATTCCACTAACTCCTAAGCTTCAGTACATGATTCCCTAATGCTAGCCAAACAGGAAATCTAAACTCTGAATTAAAATGGTATTCTATCAGGCTGGTGGGAAAACATAGTGGAAGTGTAGCCCATGTATCCACTGTGTGTATGAAATTCATCACTATCCTGACAGTCAGCACATGGCCTATGCCCTGTTTCAGTCCCACTTGATTCTGGGGAGGATGCCCTTTGCAAAGGAGGGAATTTCACCCAGCATGAAGGAATGAGTCAGCACCTCGTTCTGGCATTTTAGGAGTGGCTTTGATGTTTTCAAGAAGGCAAGGCATTACTCTCTTCTGAGGAAATGGAAAAATGGTGAGTGTTGTGTTCTGAGGCCATGAGAGAGATTAAAAAGAATAAAATCAGTTTATACCAAAACCACATTTATACAGTTATAGGTATACATTTGCATAGTTTTATACAGAGGACATAGGTAAAAACTAATTCTATATTTTTAATGGATATTTTGATCTTCATTCAAACCCTAAGTTTTCTCTGGCATAATCTAACTAGAAATATGAGAGAAAGAGAACTTTGTTCAAACAACAAGACTTTTTCCCTCCAAATAACCAAGCAGGTTTCATATTTATCAACAAGTTAATCAAACTTTTGAAAGCTGCTTACATTTAAACCAATGAAGGAAACTGTAAGCGATGGAAAACGCATGGCTGTTAGTTCAAGAGATGAGTTTCAAGTGCACAATTTGTTATGGTGAGCTTTTTCTCTCCTTTTTTATTTTTTAAAGTTTTCTTATGCAGTACTGCCTTTGTTTTAGAGTTATTGGTCATCTTGTCTCTGAACTAACAATGGGGAGCTGACACACACTTTTGGCTAAATTGCTGCTGTTTCAAAGTTGTCGCCCACTAGTCAAAATATTCAGCAGAAGATAATGGGCCAGAACAGTACACATTTGTATATAAGTACTTACATCTGAAATAACAGGAGATCCACAAATGATTTCTCAGTTTGAGAACTTACTGTAATTAAACATCTGTCAAAAAGCTGTATGTTTGGTTTGAATATTATCCCCTAATACCGACTGTACTGGATCCAAGCAGTGATTTTAACAACGCATGAAAGCTTCACTGAACAAAATCTTTTGAAATTAACACCAAACATATTGAGACTTATATTCTGCCAGTTAAAAACTCTGAGATTATCAGTTTATTTTGTTACAGGAAAATAATATACAATGTGGGTTTACACAAAATTGATGGCATTTCTTTAAAGTGGTTTTCAATCTACACATTTGCAGTGCATTAATCTAAGCTCCTTTTTTCACTATGTCTGTGATAGGTTAAAAAACACATTTCATTATTTACAGATTTCCCTATTTCTGATCCCCATTTCTGATCTTCAGATAAAGAAGCAAATAGTTATTTTATGGAGTCTCACCACATAATCAATTTCCACTCAGATACATTCGCCAAGTCTTAGAGTATGTTACAAAGCTGTGTCAATAAAGAGACTAACACACCACACATAATATATTCAAACTGTAACCAGGATCATTGCTAAATATTAAAAATAATCTTTATAGTTCTTATATAGAATAGCACTTCTAAACTCTGACATCAGTCTGAATTTCTGAGTTATTCTGTAGTTTCATGGTCTGCAGCTAGTAATTTGTGACTGATGGACTCACAAAGCAAAAAGTTACTTTTTAGGGTTAAATTCTATTTAACCACTTCCTATTCTTTTCCAAGATAATCAGATTTGGAGAATTTATATTTGGTTATATTATGCCATTGATTTGTAAGCAGAATTGAACTGATATGGCACAGTTCTGCCTAGTGATCTATAACTGCTTATAAGTACATCACAAATGATTGAATGGAAACAAGGAAGTCTCCATCATAGTCCTTCAAAGTCCATCAAAGGCAAGGCAATGATTCTTCAAAACACTTTTCATGGCAGTAACTTTAGTTACATGTGCAATCCCTTTCAAGTCAATAGAATGACTTGGTGACTAAACTTATGCACTTACCCCAGTGTTTGAAAAATTTAAAGACTGATTAGACTCCCAGAAAAATGTTTTAAAAAACGATTCATGGCAATGGTTATTGTGCCAATGTAACCCAGGATAAAACTTGTCTCCAAATGTTCCAGCTAGCTTTCTTTAATAATATTATATCCAGACTTATATGGTATGTACTAATGACATATATATCCTTTGCATCCTTTCATATATATTTTCCTTTATATATATGAATGAACAAATACACAGAAAGAGACAAGTAGAATTCAGTCCCAAGTTGTATTAAAGTAAATTGTACTTCTTTTTGTCATGTCCCCTATGAATGATCTAGCCTTGAATCAGTACCCTGGCTTTAGCCTTCTGATATCCTGTCTGGATCTAGATCCTGCCTATGCGAGAGGGAGAATGTATAATTAATTTTTACTCTGAAACCTATGAAATATTGAATGAAACATACATACGGTTATAGTGCACAGAATCCGATACTTAAATCAGCAGAAAAAAATATGATGTCATTTTCATCCCTGATATGGAATATTTTAGGATGACTAGAATAAAGCACATTTAGCAGTATTCTAGAGACATTTATTTTAATATGCTTGTTGAGAGAACTGAGATACATATAGTTGAATACAGGAGTAAAAATTCAGCGTTTTGCATAAGGAGGTCTGTGACTAACCAATAATAAGAGTGGCAGGGTTGTTAACAGTGGCTGTGCCCAAATTTGTCACACAGTGCAAGAGCCAAAAATTTAGGGCCAGATTTGCTAATCAGATGCAGTCCTTTTGAGTTACTCAGGTGGTATATTGCCTCAGCAACTAAGCAAATTACATGATAAACTGGAACTCCCTGCTGGTACGTACATGCTAAATATGCTTTGTCCTTCTACATTCCCTGCTAAATGTAATAAATAAGGATGGGAAGATCCATTGGACTTATGCTACACTAGGGGCATGTCTACATGTTCATTAATGTGCATTGGTTACAGCGCACTTTTTGGAGGGGGATGCTTACTGCGCAGTAGCTTAGTTAATAACACTGTATAGTAGCGTATAACTGCGGTTTTTTGCTTTTTGTTTCCTGAATGTTCTCCCAATTTCAGCATCTTACTAGTACTGAAAATTCAGGATTTTTAAGTTGGGTTTGGTGTGTGCACTTTTGCCTTTTAGTTAAACGAAAGTCTTCACAAAGAGAAGAATCTCAACAGACTCCAGTTCTATGATCATGTGTGTTCATTTAAAAGTTACACACAAAATATGTTGTGATATAATAGAATCAAGCAAACTTTGAAATAACTGAAAACTTGTAAAGCAAGGAGAAAAATGCAAAACTATAAATGCCAAAAAGTCTGGCTAACACAAAACCCTGAAGTATTTTGGTTGATTGAATTTTTTACTCAAAAGACTGAAACTATTGAAAAGGGAGACTGCCTTCTAATGATGAAAACCTTCTGGTATTTAATTTACCAAGAATGAAATATGCTAAACAGCAGTTATGTAGAGCCATCTTAGAACCATGCAAACAAGCATCAGACCCTTTGAAGAGGTTGTAAAATCTCTGTCCCAAATTTGAATAAGCTTCTGAAATAGATCAAGACCCCAAAGTCACTCTCATTTTCATTCTGAAACCTGTAATTGGAAACAGATAGTAGAGTGTAGTAGGTGTACACAGGAAATGGGGAGCCCAGTCTGAGGTGACACCATTGAAATCTCTTTCAACGTTCCCACATGAAAATCCTTTTTCTTTTCATTTGTAAATTGTCATCATGGAGGAGGAGGAACATTTGGAAACTCAGCAAATCTGTGTGTAGTTCTCAGCCCTGTGGTTCCATAGGTGTTTTTTAATCTTGGGGGTGCATTTTTCATAAGGTTCATTAGTTTGGCAAGAGCCAGAAACATATATTTGGTACATTTGGAGTTCCCTGCATGGATATCTGTCAGGGTGTGGAATTTGCAGGGGTGAGGGGCAAGTCTGGCACCCTTCCTCACTTGGTGCCCTAAATAAGTGCTCCTCTTGCCCACTGCTAGTTGTGCTACTGGCAAGAAGGGTAATTGCTTTAGACTTACAGCCAGGGACTCTCAACCTCCCTGTTTTTTTCTGCTTACAGCATAAGGGCCAAAACTTTGGGAGGAGACTAGCAGCAAGGGGTGGAGAACACTTGAAGTAGTTCTGTCCTCCCAATGCACTGGCCGGTGTGGAAAGTGAAGTAGTTTACAAATTGCAGTGGAGAAATATTGAATATGAACCTTTTGGGGGGGGGGGAAGAAGAGAAAACAATGTCTTTCTTCCGCATTACCATTAGACGACTCCCCATGAGGCTTCTCAGCAGTGTCAAGCTCTCTGTCCCCTCATACTTCCTAGCTTTGCCTTCCAAATGTCCCCCCACCCCTTCATCTATCACCAAGGTCCCCCACAACTCTCCTATACCTTCCCCACATTTTTCTTATCCTTATTATCTGTCCTACTACTTGTCACTATATTAGAAAATAGTAACTTTGCAGTAAGATTCCTCCCTGAGACAGTACAGCTCTAAATACAAAGATGTGCTTTGCAGCACAGTATAGCACTACTTGTTTAGTGTTGGTAACTACTCTTGCCTAAGCACAGAGGCTGTGTGCTAATCCTCTGGGCCTTCCTTTACTGGTTGCCTCATTCCAACTGCAGACTTGTCAGCACCATCTGTGGTCTCGCCTGCCACAGTTTAAGGGAATATCCTGACTAGGGACAGGCTCACTAGAGGAATGGGCTCCCGAGTACTTGGCCCTTGTCTGGATAGGGTTCCACATAGCCCCTGTCCACTATTACTTTAACTGCACCTTGTAGCTCTAGGCCCACTATTCAGGACCACAAAATTTAGACACAGTATAGCCTG